TGTGTGTGTGTGTGTATGAGTGTGTTTGTATGTGGCAACGGGCCCATCCACCCGATTTTGATCCTGAATATATCATGTAATAAACGATGAATTTTTAAAAAAAGTGTTTGGATTTGTTTGTTGGGTTATTTATTTTATTTTTATCCTAACCGGTAGATAGTTTTTGGGTGTGTTTATCAGTCTGTACCTTGTGGAGTTTGAAGGTGTGTGAAGAACCCGCGAGAGTGTGTGTGTGTGTGTGTGGGCATGTGTGTGTGTGTTTGTGTGTGACCAGCGAAGTCTGTGGTGTAGAGGTTAGGCACTTCACTTTCACAGGCAGGAGATCCAAGTTCGATTCCCGAGTGGGGACAATATTTATCAAGTATCTCGGTCTTGCTACCGGGATGATGTATCCCTCTCAGTCGGGTTGGCCCTGCGACAGGTAGGGGCAAAAGCCCTCCTCCTCAATCTAAACTGGGTCAACGGGGCCGTAAAGACACCTACCTAAAATTGGTCGCTTTTAAGGACAAGCGGGCTAACCCAGATTTCGGGGGTTTCCAGAAATCTTGACCTACCTCAAAAGTGGGCATTGCCCTACCTGTAGGAGAAGTTTGGTTTCATTGGTGTGTATATTTGTTTGGTTATAGAGAAAACTCTCCTTGTCTTTTAAAGAGATTGAACAAGGATCCAAAAACTTTAACTTCGATTTTCTCAAAACAGCATTTTTCGGGATAGCCCCTGTGTGCTTAAAAGCGACCAATTATAAAAAATAACAGACGCACATACATTACTGTTGTGTAGATATATAATGTACTAACTGGGCCCCCTTTCGATGAAAGGAATGATCGGTATGCATTAACATCAACTGAAAGTAAGTCATTGGCCTACTATACTATATTTACACTCTACTGGCATGGAGCAATAAATCTTGAGGGATGCAAAAAAAATTAGATCTAGATCTATACTCTGTGGTTGTGCGCTCCATAATTTCAAAAGTGTAGAACGACTAGTGGAAACCTCACTGATTTACAATGACGTCTTAGAAGACAGACTTTATCAAGAATAGATCTAAACAAAACTAATGAACAACTGAAAATTAACCTAGAGTGACTTCAGGCTCCTCAAAAAAACTGTGCACCCTTTAAGTGATTCTGAACCACCATTAATTTGGTCAAATTCGAAAGTTAAGTAGTTCGGAAGTTTGAGGCGGCCAAAGTGACGGACTTTCACAAATATAATATGTAGAGATATCGGATGTGCGCCGGAGATGATTTCTACACACACACAGGAAGACAAACAGTGAACATGAGACGGACAGATGTTGATAGAAGAAACACAACAAAGAACATATTTTATTGCTAAAGCTTTTTAAAGTGTGTGTTCGTGTATGTGTATATGTGTGGATGTGTGTGTGTGTGTGTGTGTGTGTAATAATAATAATAATAA